AATTTACATTTCATTCCTGTGGGTGGTTGTAGGGGTCCCAGCACATTGGTTTGCCCAGGGGCGCATAAAGCTTTTAAGATGGTCTCTGATACAGAGACGTTGGTTCAAATCCTTAGTAAGATGCTGAAAGTTTTTTGTGTGGGTCAAACCTACACAGTTTGTGGTGACAGCACTAGCCAGGCCATCAACAATTCTCAGCTCCAACCAAGACCCTCCTGGTCCTGCACCGCCCTAAAAAAATGGTACCATAAGCAGGAAAGTAAAAAGTTCTTCACAGAACCCTGCTGCCATCACAGCCCAAAGGAAAGTTTCTCTGTGCCTTGTCGATTCATCTGACTTATGCATCCTTATGCTTAGGATGTCTCAAGTCTGGCTAATGAGGGGAAAGAAAGCCATGGTGTCTACTGCAACAATGCCTAGAGGACCAGAAACTGCAAGACTGTTATGTCTGTCTAGAGTCAACCTGATGTATGTAAGTTGTACTCCAGCAGGACAACACACAAGCGATAAACACCCAGTGACACAAAGTGCCACCATGCAGATGAGGATCACCTGTGGAGAGATCCCAGAAACACTGTTCAGACGTTAGGCCATATTTTAGGCCCGGCTATATTTAGGGCACTCTGCAAAAGCCAGTATGGGGCTTCAAAATAACTAAAAACTGCATCCCATAAGGAGATTACCAGCCTGATGTCTCACTCATCCTCAGTTCTTCTGTAACTTCTCCGACTAGATACATACTGCCTTTTTTCTGGATACAGCCTTACAGTCAATGGTCTCTAACAGTTTACTTTCTTAAACTGGGCATAGACCGCTCAACCAGACTCTCGCTAGCCGTTGATTCTCTAACTGGTTAGAAAAGGTGTAGGTTTCTTACACAGATACAGGCTGGTCTCTTAACAAACACCGATATAATAACTGCTCAGACTAGGCACAGAGTGTCTACCAGAGTCAGGCCTCATGTAGTCCCCAGTTCTTCTTCTTTGCGTTCACCAGCTGTAGACTCTGGCAGAAAAGTTAGGTTGTTTGCCCACTTTTGGACTCTAATGTCCCCCAATTCTATAATTGTTCAGATAAGATGCAGACTGTCTTAATTTTGAGATCATCCTCACAGCACTCCGATCTCCTCAGTGTTTTTAGATAGACTGTATAACTAGAGGCAGCCTGGTCTCTTACTAGTCCACCATTCTATCACTACTCATACTGGGTATAGACTGGACAGTCAGCCTGACCTCTCTCCAGTCTTATAACTGCTCAGACTGGGTATAAACTACTCAGCTGCTAGGTACAGTCATCTCTCACTATTCCCCAGTTTTGCAACTGCTCAGATTGGGTACAAATTGCTCATTATCAATCAGCATCCTTGTACAGAACGCCACTCTCGTCACGGCATGCCTGAAAGTCTTTTTCTCTAGCCCCATGTCTTGTATCCGCCTTTGCTAAGTGTCAATCTCTGACTGTCTATACACTCCATCATCGTTCTTCAGACAGACTGCCCATCTAGAGTCAAAATGTTTGATTTTGTTTGCTTATGACTTCGGTCATGCACATAAGTTATTATTTTACAATTCCTCGTCTTCTGCGATGATCTACAAGCAGTGGTGTGATTACTTTCAAACTATAGCTTTCATCTGAGCATAAACCGAAAAAAGAACAGGTTCGGTCTGATTCAATAACAGTTATACAGCTTACAGGAACTTGTAAACAATAGTTTAAAATGAATAAAACCTGGCCATTTAGGCTCACCCCATATTCTATCTTTAGTCAGCTCTTTGTAAGCATCTAGATATTTATTAATTTTTATTTATAGACTAATAATAAATAACATGGAAAGAATAATTTATTGGGAAAAGTGACTTATCCCGGTGTTCAAAGTGGAATTTCTTATAATAAAGAATGGTGGCTTGGTTAAATGTTCAAAGTGGAAAGAATATGAGGAATGATAAAATGGAAGGGACATCTTCAAAGGAGAAAAGTGCGTATAATAATGACCTAAAGGTGGGATATATAAACCTTCTGAAGAAAGGTCACTTTGTCTCATGATCAACATGGGCAGTACTTTTTATTGTATGGTCAATTAAAAAAGTTGCTTCTACTAATCTAATGTTTAAAAAAAAAAAAAAAAAAAAGACAGCCCCCCCCCCCCCCCCGACTAATCTAATATACACTGAGACTTCCAAATGTTTTGTAAACTCAACCCTAATGTATGGTAGAGAAACCATAGGGGGGGGGGGGGGTGACAATGAAGACTGCCGAAGATAAAAGAGACCCGGACTGGAACAAACAACCGGGAATCATCAAGAGATGGACAAACAGCCAGCAGAGAGTGTACAACCAAGAGAAGAGACAGAGAGTGTTGGAGATGCACTGCAGCCAACTTTCACTGTGAAGATGGCATGTGATTGATTGAGAGATTTCTGCTTATCAGCAAGGGCTAGGATGTTGATACCGACAACCCCCGTGTGAGTTCCAGGGCCCTATTGTGGGGAAACCAAAAACAGACCCACTGGCTCCTCAACAAGCTTGTCTTAGGTCAACTAAAAGTAGCTTCCTTCGAAGTCGGGAGTATATCTGCCCGAGCGGCAAGAAAAATCTAACTGCACACAAATAAGCCAGTAAAATTGATGTACACGTAAAACTCAGGCCCTGGCACAAAGCTAAAATCTAAATGAATGAACAGCCAGGTCTTTCCGTCAGAGCTCACAGCCTCTGAACAAAGAAGAGAAGATACTGACAACAAGTAACATAGTTTACTGTGCTGTAAATCAAGTTACTGACCTGTGGTCAATTCACACATCATGTCCTGTCTTTTTTAAAGTCTTAGTTCAATATCTTGCATAGACTGGATCCATAAAACAACTATCTTTAACAAACATTATATTCATTATCAAAAGGGGAGATGACTATTACCTACAGAAGGGAAATAATTTGTACAAATAGAGAAACCATGCCTATAATTTCAAATATACACGTTACGATACAGTCGTAATAGATGATCCATTATGAGTTTCAATTTGAAGCATTTCCCTTGCTATCATGCATCGTTCCCACTGATTCGTCTATGGCTGAAGTTTAAATCTCTGTCACACAGTCTGTCAAGCAGTGCAGTGGTGGCCATTACCCGAAGCTGCGGAAAAAATGCAATAAATATTTGCTGGTGACAACAGGAAAACGTAATTTGAAAAAAGCAAAAAGAGGACACAGATAAAATGACATAACTGGAGTAGGAGTAAGTAGGTAAAGGACCCTTTCCCTGCCTTTAGACATATAGGGCTAGACCTATATTTGTATAGACCAATCAGCACAAGATGGGTGATGTAGTCAGCATCATGCCGGCCGCCTTTACTTCCCAGGACTGCCCCCGGTACCTACTCAAGGCTTGGTCGACCAGGGAGCTAAAAATCATTTTTGAAAAAAAAAGTCCGGCTCCGACAGGGAGGAAACCCATGACCTTCCGATCCACAGGCGAGAGTCTAGCCACTTCGCCACATAACTGGATAAGGACAGCAGCCATAAACTATGGCTAGTAATCTTGTGAGATGAGAAAACAATTACTGTACATGATAATTGTTATAGCGCATGATGATGATGATTCTGAGAATACAATCAACCCAGGAAAAAAAGAAATACTGAAATTCTGCAAGATCATCAAGGAGAATTGGATCATAACTAGTATCTTGTCTTGGAAACTGAAACACTTTGACCACATCAAACACCACAATGGTTTGGGAAAAGGTGTAATGAGAGACATGGCGTAGAGTGATACAGGCAGTGACTTTTCAATCAGAGTCAACAATAAATCTCCTTTTTATAGTCTGTGCTGTGTGGTGTTGGTAGTCATGTCTATCCACAACCTTTTGTCTTCTTTTTATAGTGTGTGGTGTTGGTAGTCATGTCTATCCACAACCTTTTGTCTTCTTTTTATAGTTGTGATATGTGGTGGTGGTAGTCATGTCTATCCACAACCTTTTGTCTTCTTTTTATAGTATGTGGTGCTGGTAGTCATGTCTATCCACAACCTTGTCTTCTTCTTACAGTCCAAGCCATGTGGTGTCAACAGTCATGTCTAAAAATAACCTTCTGTCTCCTGTTCTTTTAATCAACTCTGACGCAGTCTCCCATGCCATAATGTCAAACTGCCCAGCATTTTCTCTCTCAATCTCCTTTTGCTTCTTTCAACCTGTAACGTTCCTACTGTCATGATGAACTCGTTTTCTCCTTCTCATGACATGATCAAAGAATGTAGGTTGTCTCCCTCTGGTGTGGGCAATCAGTTCTCTTCATGAGTTAGTTTTTTCATAGACATCTTCATTACTCTTTTTATATGTCTAGAGTCGTCTCATAATTCATCTATAAAATATGGGGAAATGAGCAGGCAGATAGACTGGCTGACTCTGCACCATTGGTGGTGAATTGATGTATGACAAAGTTAGATATTGTGAGGGCTCTGGGAGTGAGTGAGCAGTGCAGAGGCACAGATAGATCATTACGGTCTGAGGAGAATGGCACTGCAAGGAGTTACCAGGTGATCTGGCCGATGCACAACACTCAGGGCAAGGATGAGATGAAGAAACAATCAGACTGGTATCATCGGAATTGTAACTCTTCACTTGCTGAAGATGGGGACTGAGCACTTATGGGAGTGTTTTGAGTGATGTTGATTCTTAATTCAACATTCAACACCTGTAAAACCTCACCTCTGTTACTTCCACTTAACTGTTCACTAACCTGCCAACAACCCATGATTACCTTCTGTATATCAGGAAAGAATTCAAACATATAACTCACCTTGCATATAAAAATTATTTTGATGGAAAAATTAGCCAATGTTTTAAAAGTTCTTGAGAAATTCTTCAGCACTGATTCGGGCCCGCGAGTTGACAGCCAGTTTGAGGAAGTTGATCTCCTTGTCAATCTCTTCCATAAAATGAATAATGAAGTCGACGAGTTTATATCTGAACATCTGCTCTGTGTGGAAATTTGTTATGAGGAAACTGATGTCATAGCCCTGAAATATATTGTACATATGTTCTATTCATATATACGATGCCATGGACAGCATTGTATGAAAGGGAAAATTCAGAAAGGGACAAGGAATAGAGCAGAAAATGACTGCACATTGACAATGGAGGACACAAGGGCAAAATAACAAGATAAGGAACCAGGCGAAGGATGACACACAAAGAAAATATCAGAAAGCATAGAACAGGAGATAGAAGGAGCGGTCTTTCCATAAGAAAAGGAATATTAAGTCAGAAAGCTCACGCACATACCTTAATCTTAGCTACAAATGTGGTGCAAATAAACCAGACCACAAATATAACCGGAGACTGTTGGCAGCTTCGGCTACCTACAGCAGGTTGAATGTGGTCAAATTTTGTTTTCTAGACCAGTAATGGTAACTGCACATAGAAAAGAACTTAGCGTCTATTATCTCTTTCAATACCAAGGAATTCACCATAAGTTCACTAGTTATAAATTTTGCTTTACTTTTCCTATCCAATTCTTCTGTTACATTAATCTGTTATTTTCATGTTGTTACTTTAGCAACAACTCTCTCAAAGCCGTATTGTTCAGTTCTATGAAACTAGAATATTGCTGCTCTAGGTTGCAATAACTATAGCATAGACACGGTTGAATTCAACACGGTCTGAAGCTGAAAGAGTTCAGTAGCACATAGCAAGCAAGCAGTGGCAACAATGGTCAATCCCACCCTATGAACTTAAAATGTTTGGGTAATCCACTTTAATGCTGTTAAATATTTGACAACTCCTATTAAATTCCCCCTTTGGGTTAACGGGGGGTGTGTGTTGGGGGGGGGGGAGGGAGAGACCCATGACCCCAAGAACCAGCATGCTCTAAAAGATGACTAATTAGAGTGTTTCCTTCTAAGTCAGAGTGCACCTGGTGACAGGTGACAAACCAACAGTCTGCAAAAAAATAAACCAGATCTGTAAAATAAATGTGCAAACAAAACTCAAGTTCTGGAATAAAATCAAAGTAGAGAAGTGGATGAACAACCACAACTTTCCTCTGCAACTGACAATCGGTAAATGCTGAGAGAAAGAATTTTTTTTTTTTTAAAAAGGACAATGAATGTAATGAAGTTTGGGTACATACCTCGACCTGCTTTCTCCTCAAGATGGTAAAATTTTCCGCTCTCATCATCATGAACCTGGTGAACTTGTGGCACAGAATCTTTTTCTATCTCGTCGGCCTGGAAAGGTAGAGACAGAATGTTTGACATGTTACAGAGGTTGAGGTAGAGACAGAATGTTTGACATGTTACAGAGGTTGAGGTAGAGACAGAGTGTTTGACATGTTACAGAGGTTGAGGTAGAGACAGAGTGTTTGACATGTTACAGAGGTTGAGGTAGAGACAGAATGTTTGACATATTCCTGAGGCAACAGAGGTTGGAGGTAGAGACAATGTTACAGAGCACGAGGGTACTGTTTGACATGTTTCATGTTACAGAGGTAGCGACCAAATGTTTGATCGAGGTAGAGACAGAGTGTTTGACATGTTACAGAGGTCGAGGTAGAGACAGAGTGTTTGACATGTTACAGAGGTCGAGGTAGAGACAGAATGTTTGATATGTTACAGAGGTCGAGGTAGAGACAGAGTGTTTGACATGTTACAGAGGTTGAGGTAGAGACAGAGTGTTTGACATGTTACAGAGGTCGAGGTAGAGACAGAGTGTTTGACATGTTACAGAGGTCGAGGTAGAGACAGAGTGTTTGACATGTTACAGAGGTCGAGGTAGAGACAGAGTGTTTGACATGTTACAGAGGTCGAGGTAGAGACAGAGTGTTTGACATGTTACAGAGGTTTAGGTAGAAAAAAAATGACATGCTATAGAGGTCACTATGAATCTCTTTGAGTTGTTCAGAAGATTTAGGTAGGTGGCTGGTAACAGTTTACTTTGAGAAAGTGAAAAGCATCAAAGTGAAAATGTGTTAACAGTCAGTGGTGAAAGTGTCACCAGTCAGTAGTGATTGTGTCACCAGACAGTGGTGAATGTGTCACCAGTCAGTGGTAAAAGTGTCACCAGTCAGTGGTGAGTGTGTCACTAGTCATTGGTGAATGTGTCACCAGTCAGTGGTGAAAGTGTCACCAGTCAGTGGTGAGTGTGTCACCAGTCATTGGTGAGTGTGTCACCAGTCAGTGGTGAATGTGTTTCCAGTCAGTGGTGAATGTGTCACCAGTCAGTGGTGAATGTGTCATTAGTCAGTGGTTTAAGTGTTATCAGTCAGTGGTGAATATGTCATTAGTCAGTGGTGTGATTGTCACTAGTCAGTGGTGAATGTGTCACCAGTCAGTGGTGAAAGTGTTACCAGTCAGTGGTGAATGTGTTACCAGTCAGTGGTGAATGTGTCACCAGTCAGTGGTGAAAGTGTCACCAGTCAGTGGTGTAAGTGTCACCAGTCAGTGGTGAATGTGTTACCAGTCAGTGGTGGGAGCTGGATGTGGGACTATGCTCCACTGGCAGATGAAAAACAGAAGGCACTATGAAGTAAATTTTCTACTGTAGATATTCGTACCAACCTGTTTAATGGCTATACTGATCCGTAAAGAATTAATGCTGCCTTCAATTAAAACTTTCTCCTTCTCGTTTCGGCTGATGACAACTGGCGTCAGCAGTAGTTCTTTGTTGGTTCTACAACAAAAGTGATAAAAAATGTATGTAAAGATAACCTCGCAGTAAATGGTAAAGATAACCTCGCAGTAAATGGTAAAGATAACCTTGCAGTAAATGGTAAAGATAACCTCGCAGTAAATGGTAAAGATAACCTCGCAGTAAATGTGACTTCGTAAATTTAAAATTATATCTGCTATATGAGACATGAGCATTAGGAATCACAAAAGCAGTGACTAATCAAATAAAACACAAATTAAATTTGAGCTTTTGCAGAGTAGAAGACTAAATTCTCATCTATTGTACCCTATGAAAAATGGCAACTTATTGGACAGTATGGCAGTTACTGAAGGATCAAACTAAAGTCAAAGGAATTAACCAAAATCAACAACTTGAACTAAAACAAGTAAATGCCTACAGAATCAAAACTCAGTACCTACTGACCTTTAACTTCTGATGCACAGAAAATCAAAACTCAGTGCCTACTGACCTTCAACTCGTGATGCACAGAGAATCAAAACTCAGTGCCTACTGACCTTTAACTTCTGATGCACAGAGAATCAAAACTCAGTGCCTACTGACCTTTAACTTCTGATGCACAGAGAATCAAAACTCAGTGCCTACTGACCTTCAACTTCTGATGCACAGAGAATCAAAACTCAGTGCCTACTGACCTTCAACTCGTGATGCACAGAGAATCAAAACTCAGTACCTACTGACCTTTAACTTCTGATGCACAGAGAATCAAAACTCAGTGCCTACTGACCTTCAACTCGTGATGCACAGAGAATCAAAACTCAGTGCCTACTGACCTTCAACTCGTGATGCACAGAGAATCAAAACTCAGTGCCTATTGACCTTTAACTTCTGATGCACAGAGAATCAAAACTCAGTGCCTATTGACCTTCAACTTCTGATGCACAGAGAATCAAAACTCAGTGCCTACTGACCTTCAACTTCGGATGCACAGAGAATCAAAACTCAAAGCTTACTCAACTTCAGTGTTTAACATATAGAATAAACTCTCGACACTTACTCAACTTCAGTGTTTAACATATAGAATCAACTCTCGACACTTACTTGACTTCAGTGTTTAACATATAGAATCAACTCTCGACACTTACTTGACTTCAGTGTTTAACATATAGAATCAACTCTCGACACTTACTTGACTTCAACTTCTGGCTTGTTGTGTCTCTCTACATTCTGAGAATCAAAATTCTGGAGGCAGATTGCTGCATTCAAAGTCTCCTTAACTGCGTTCAGATATGGTTTCAGTGTTGACGCCTGTAAGCAGACAATGAATCCAGCAATACAGTATTTATTTTATTAATTATAAAAACACAAAACAAGAAGAAGAACTAGACAAAGTTATGAGACAAGATAATGGCTTATCATTTTAGTCAAATAATTAACATTTATCGTGCAGCCATCTCAGTAATGACTAATTTATTTGTTATTTACTTCCTGCAACAGGAATGCAGTAGTAAATGTTTGGGGAACAACATCACATGACAAACTGAAAGAATGCACAATAAGAATAGAGAACAGAGTGCTGGTGACTCACTACATCAGACATCGAATGCAGATATGGTAGCTGGTGATGAGAATGACTTTATGTACTGTCAAAGTATACATCTTCTTAGAAGCAGTTGTATGATCATGGTGGTGTCACAATGGTGTCAATGCAAGTCCCAAAGTGTAACATGAAATTATCCAGACATCGATTCATGCTTTATAATATTATGTGTTATATCTAGCGCATCACTGTCGGACATAGAAAAAGCACGCAACAGACAAACTTAAGACGCTTGAAAAAAAGAACCATCGAACGAACTAAACTCTTCCTCTTCCGTCATAAATTATATAGAGGTATCGATAGCAAAAAGGTTGGAGACTGAAAGTGTAGAAGAACCCGACACAGAGCCGGCAGACAACACCCACCATGTTGAAAACACGGAAGAAGTCGCTCTCACACGCGGACAGACAGACAGACAGACAGACAGACAGACAGACAGACAGACAGACAGACAGACAGACAGACAGACAGACAGACAGACAGACAGACAGACAGACAGACAGACAGACAGACAGACAGACAGACAGACAGACAGACAGACAGATAGATAGATAGATAGATAGATAGATAGATAGATAGATAGATAGATAGATAGATAGATAGATAGATAGATAGATAGATAGATAGATAGATAGATAGATAGATAGATAGATAGATAGATAGATAGATAGATAGATAGATAGATAGATAGATAGATAGATAGATAGATAGATAGATAGATAGATAGATAGATAGATAGATAGATAGATAGATAGATAGATAGATAGATAGATAGATAGATAGATAGATAGATAGATAGATAGATAGATAGATAGATAGATAGATAGATAGATAGATAGATAGATAGATAGATAGATAGATAGATAGATAGATAGATAGATAGATAGATAGATAGATAGATAGATAGATAGATAGATAGATAGATAGATAGATAGATAGATAGATAGATAGATAGATAGATAGATAGATAGATAGATAGATAGATAGATAGATAGATAGATAGATAGATAGATAGATAGATAGATAGATAGATAGATAGATAGATAGATAGATAGATAGATAGATAGATAGATAGATAGATAGATAGATAGATAGATAGATAGATAGATAGATAGATAGATAGATAGATAGATAGATAGATAGATAGATAGATAGATAGATAGATAGATAGATAGATAGATAGATAGATAGATAGATAGATAGATAGATAGATAGATAGATAGATAGATAGATAGATAGATAGATAGATAGATAGATAGATAGATAGATAGATAGATAGATAGATAGATAGATAGATAGATAGATAGATAGATAGATAGATAGATAGATAGATAGATAGATAGATAGATAGATAGATAGATAGATAGATAGATAGATAGATAGATAGATAGATAGATAGATAGATAGATAGATAGATAGATAGATAGATAGATAGATAGATAGATAGATAGATAGATAGATAGATAGATAGATAGATAGATAGATAGATAGATAGATTAGATAGATTAGATAGATAGATTAGATAGATTAGATAGATAGATTAGATAGATAGATAGATAGATAGATAGATAGATAGATAGATAGATAGATAGATAGATAGATAGATAGATAGATAGATAGATAGATAGATAGATAGATAGATAGATAGATAGATAGATAGATAGATAGATAGATAGATAGATAGATAGATAGATAGATAGATAGATAGATAGATAGATAGATAGATAGATAGATAGATAGATAGATAGATAGATAGATAGATAGATAGATAGATAGATAGATAGATAGATAGATAGATAGATAGATAGGTAGGTAGGTAGGTAGGTAGGTAGGTAGGTAGGTAGGTAGGTAGGTAGGTAGGTAGGTAGGTAGGTAGGTAGATAGATAGATAGATAGATAGATAGATAGATAGATAGATAGATAGATAGATAGATAGATAGATAGATAGATAGATAGATAGATAGATAGATAGATAGATAGATAGATAGATAGATAGATAGATAGATAGATAGATAGATAGATAGATAGATAGATAGATAGATAGATAGATAGATAGATAGGTAGGTAGGTAGGTAGGTAGGTAGGTAGGTAGGTAGGTAGGTTAGTAGGTAGGTAGGTAGATAGGTAGGTAGGTAGGTAGGTAGGTAGGTAGGTAGGTAGGTAGGTAGATACAAGCTTACAAAGTATTGATCGGCACTAACAGAAAGAAGTAGAAAGATAGGACACACTAGACAATATAAAATCTATCTTTTTTACGAATGGCAATCAACACTTTGTCTTATTTATATTTATATATATATTGATTGGCACCTTTCCGTCTTTCCAGACGATAGTGTTATATTGCACTATGAGGAGGCAAGAGACTCACAGCCCATGGCGATGGCGAGTGTGACTAGCAAGACCCGCCCGTGTCAAGAAAAGTCTTCCACAATGATAGCAGGGGATTTCAGGACCATTGTTGTCAACATTTGTGTTTAATCCGTTTCTTTTCAGATGCTCAGCTCTCATCTTTTCTGCAGTCATTTCTTCCTTCACTCTCATTCCCTTTCCTCACAACACCGTCCACGGCATTTTGTTTCCATGAGTCCACCTCAATGCCTGTATCATTTATGTCTCGCTTACACACCTCTTTGTATCGTAGCAGAGGTCGGCCTCGACTCTTCTTCCTGTCTTTAATTCGCCATAAAGGATGTCCTTAGGGACTCTGCCATCCTCCATTCTCCATGTGTGATCCAGCCACATGAGCCTTCGTAGACTGAGCAAGGAAAAGACTGTTGTAGTACCTGCTCTTTCCAGTGCATCAGTGTTTTTGATTTTGTCCTGCCACTTAATGCCAAGTATTCTTTTTAGGCATCGCATGTGAAAGCTATTTAGCCGTCTCTCCTGGTGCAAATAGGCTGACCAAGCATGCCGTAAAGCAGAGTGCTGAGAACACAAGCCTAATGGACAAGGGTTTTTGATTTAATTGTGACTTTCTGTTCTCCCAAACTCTCTTTGTCAATCTGCCCATTGTTGTTGCTGCCTTACCTATCTTGATGTTGATTTCTTGGTCCAGCGATAGTTTACTATTCACTGTGGAACCCAGATAGGTAAAATGGTCTACTGTCTCAAGCTCTTCATCGTCAATGTAGACTGTAGGTCTGTCATTGACACCTTGCATCATAACCTTTGTCTCCTTTTTGCTGACTGTTAGTCTAAATTCACAACACGCACCAGCAAAGGCTGATAGTAAACATTGCAGCTTCTCCTCTGAGTGGGTGGTTATTGCGGCATCATCTGCAAACAGCAGCTCTCTGATAAGTACTTTTCCTATCCTGGTTTTGGCCCTCATCCTGCGAGCATTGTAAAGGCTGCCGTCAGATCGAGAATAAATGAATATACCACCCTTCTGATCTTGAAAGGCACGTGTCAAAAGAAGTGAAAAGTATATTCAAAAGAGGGTAGGAACAAGTACACACACCTGCTTCACTCCATTTTTTATTACAAACTCCTCCGATGTTACACCATCAAAGTTGATTGTATCTTTCATACCTTTGTGGAACGACTCAATAATGCCCCGTAAAGAGTAGATGGACACTTAATCTTCTTCAGTGCGTTGAACAGACCTTTTCGACTAACCAAATCAAACGCCTTGGTATATGTAATATTTATATAGCCTGAAGAGTTCCCCCTGTTTATTTATAAAATAGTCTTGTATGGTGAGATTCATGAAGATAGACGCTCTCATAGTGCACCCCCCCTCCCCCTTTTTTCCCAACGTCAAGGAATCACCTAATCCTTCAGTATAGAGCCGGAAATTTGGGAGTCTGCGGCACAAGACCGGACTGTTTGGCAAACGTCTATTCCCAGAGAAACAGTGACCTGCGAGGCTTCAACAAAAAAGGAGCAGGCAGGTTAGAATGACCCATACAACAGGTCCCTCACCTACAAACACTGATTCCTCCCCCTCATTGTCATAAATCCTTCCGGGCACGTACTGGGCTTGTAAGTCATCTCTGGACTTTCATAACTACAGTGTCATGGCGAATGAAAGAAAGGGTGGTCCTGGACATTTTTGAGGGACGAACAACAACAGGTCACTTCCTGGTGCCCAAGTATAATTGTGTTTTATAAGGATGTACGAATTAACGGGCTTTACGGGATTTGTATTAGTGTGATTCTCATCTTTAAGATGTTATTCCTACAAACTGCTGTTATGGAGGGGGAAACTGAATCTAGATAAAAACTAAAGAACTGAGGTCATACTGTTGGGGGATACCGAACGAATTAGAGTAACATATGATTTTCGGTGTAGGAAACATGGAGACGTGTCCCTGCACCGTGACACCTGAAAATGCTGAGCATGTACTCCAACACTGTCAACTGAATTTTGACAAAAGAGCCGCACTCGGGTCTGTTCCAGCCACAATAAAGATAATGATGTATGGTAAACGAAAAGATATGGACTGCACGACAGTTTTTATTAAGGCGACCGGCCTCCTGATATAAGTTTTCTGACAGAAGTATAGAAGAAGACGTGCTAATTTTGGTAGTCAATGGAACACAAAGCATGGGTACCGGAACATGAGGGGTCAGGGACCTTGATCATACCCCCCCCCCCTCACCCTCCTCAAATGGCCCCACTGATTAAAAAAAAAAATGTCCGATGATAGATTAGACACAAAAGTTTTAATCATGGGACGACAGGCATTTGCTGTTTTATAAGCTGGCCAGCGTTTATTTCAGATCTTTGTTTATGACATGTTCATATTCAACGCACGCAATTATGCCTGGTACGGCACAAACGCGTTTTAGATTAACGTACCGAATAAAAACACATAGGTAAATTTAGATAGATAGATAGATAGATAGATA